GCGGCTGTTGCCGGGCGGTGCAGGGGCCAATGGGAAGCTCCGGAGCGGCAGGTAGCGACCTCCCTCCCGCAGGGGTCACTGGGAACGAGGCTGAAGTGGGTCCGCGTTCCCGTTAGATGTCATAGAAATGAAACGTGTGTACTAACAAACCTGTAAAATAACAGCGTGCATCAGGCACATAGCCCTGAACCCAGGCCTGAGATTAGGTCGGGATTATAGGGCAAAATCCCTTTGGGGTCACTCCAAAACACACTCTACACCTCCAGGAGACATTTCTGAATACGTTGAGCAGGGCACTGTCTGGCCCAAGGCACCAGGTAGAACAAAGAGGACAGAAACGCAACTGGACCTGGAGACTGCGAGGACAACAACACGATCAACAGCAGCGGAAGTGACGGCGACAAGGACAGGGGCTTGGACTGAGTGACCGTGTTTGGGTTAGGGGAGGGTAGAGGGTGCATTTATTGTAATAGGAACATGGGTTTCTTAATGCAATTTAAGATATGTGATGGAAAGCTTATGATAGAGGATGTATATGTATAATTCTCTCTCTCTCTATAAATATATTTTAATAGTAAAAAAAAAAAATCACATGCCAGGCTGCCCACTGATGCCCCCCCTAGGTCTGTGTGCTATGTATATAGCACTAAATAAAGAACTGTGTTTGAGCTGGGACTATGGGTGAAAATCCTTTTTGGGTAACCCCATAGTACAACAATCTGGCACTGGGAGAATCTCCCGAGGAAGCCTACTAAGCCTAGGCTCGGTTTCTGCATGCCAGGCAGCCAACTCACAGGTCCTGTTGTTGTCTCCAAAGGACAGTGTGAGTTCGTGCCCGGTGCGCTTTTGCCAATAAACACACAGGGGTGGAGGATCCAACTTAATCTTTATTGTTTCAAGTCTGCGCAGAGAGGGGTGCTTGGCGATCGTTCGCAAAACAAGCACACCGGTTTCTACCTTTGGGTACCTTTTATACGTTTGCAAGTGTATCGCTCAGTGATTTGTTACAAGCCACTGACATAAGACAGTCTCTACTGAGCATGTCTCTATACCTATGTTTTAGCCATGTATTTCATTTACATACATATATGTTTCATTAACATACTTTTGCTCTGCCCAGGGGTGTGATTTTTAGCATTATAATGAGACCTTTTTCTGAACTTCTTGCTATCTTACAGGTGTCAGGGAGACATTATCCTGCTGGTGTTAGGGAGGCATTCCAGGAATCCTCCGCATCCCACACGCTGTGCTCTGCAAGCATCTCTTAACACACACATACCACACCCCTCCCAGCACCAGTAAATTGCCTTAAGTATTCAGTTAGATATAGTTTGCAAAAGCTAGATATACCATAAAAAAGATTACATAAAAAGATTACATCACTGTGGCCTGATTAAGGAGCTGGGTTTGGACTAGTATTAGAGGTAGAAATCCTTTTCAGATCACTCAAAAACATACGCTTCTAGTATCGGGGGAAACCTGGGCATAGTCCAGCTTGACCTGGAGCTCAGTTTGTGAGTGCCAGCCTGCCAACTCACAGGACTCTAGACCTGAATAAGGAGCTAGGTTTGGGCTGGGATTACATGTGGAAATCCTTTTCAAGGCCACCGCACTACATGCAGCTCTGACATCAGAGGCCTACCCCCAAGAAGCCTGGGAAGAGTCCTCTGATGCCAGAGACATGTGCTTTGGGGTGACACAAAAAAGGATTTCCACCTGTAATCCGAGTCCAAACCTAGCTCCTCATTCAGGCTTGGGAGTCTGTGAGCTAGCAGCCTGGCACTCAGAAACTGAGCTTTGAGTCAAGTAGTGCCCTGCTCAGATTTATTCAGACATGTCTCCCAGTGGTATAGACATGTTTTGGGGTGACCTGAAAGGGATTTTGCCCTTATTTGGGGCATTGTATATCAAATACAGGCCTGGGGTGCTGGCAGTTGGCAGGTTGGCACATGAAAACAGCAGCAGAGTCAAGTCAGGCATTGCCATCTACTCCAACCCACTACTGCCACTCTGAAGGCTGGAAGGAGGCAGGCTTTCAGAGGTCATGCAGAATTCTTCAAAAAGTCTTTTGGTAGTGGAGACCTGTGGTTTGGGATGATGCAGAAAAGATTTTACCCCATAAGCCCAGTGTAATCTTAGTTCTTTATTCAAGGCAATATATATGCAGTTATTTTACATTTGTATTAGTAAATATATATTTTTGTGACATCCTAACTTTAGCTTGTGTAATTCATTACTAAGAACCTTTCACTGGGTAAGGATTAGCTGTGATAAAGATCCAGGAATAAGGAACCGGGAACTGGGAATAAGGAACCACTTTCAGCCTCCTTGGAGCACTGCTGGGACACCAGAGGCAGGACAGCCTGTCTACTAGCCAAGCATTAGGAGGTCCAGCCAGTTTTCCTACTGTAGTCCAGGTCTCTGATACAGAGGATGCCAGCCAGGACCAGCCTCAGTCACACAAAGGAAGCCTCCAGCTGTGCTGGCTCAGGTTGGAGTCCTACTGCAGGGTCCCTGCACATAGACATTTTTCTTTAGTAGCAGTGATGGTCCTGGTTACCATGATGAACTTGTAGGTCCAGAGGAAGTTTGGTGGAAGACTGGCAGTTTGGAGAGGACTTGAAGGAACCCCCTCTCCTTGGTGTAGAACAGCTGCTGGTTATATTGGAACTCTTGGAAAAAAGAAAAAGCATGCGCCAAGACGCTCCGTTCTGGGTTATGGGCACCACAGAGACTCTGTAGGGCAGGAGTAGGCAATTATTTGGGGTTGAGGACCACGTAGGGAGTTTTGGTGACCTGTTATGAGCTAAGTGAACAGCACCCTCCCCACCCATGTCAGGTCAGTGTCACCCCTCAACATCTCATGAAAACTCCCAAAGTGGCATTGCTCCATTCTTGGCTGGGATGGAACCACAGGCAGGCAGCGAGCAGCATCAGAGAACGGCGTCCAAGAGTGGGATGGGATCGCAGGTCCGTGACAGCGCAGGCCTGGCCTGGGGCCTAAGGCAGAGCTGATCCCTGCATGCCCCTGCAACAAGCACTGGTTCTGTGGGGAGGGGCATGCATGGAGTGGAGTAGAGCTGTGCCCCAGGTCTCAACCCTGCACGGTCACTGCCCTGAAATCCCAGGGTCTCCAAGGAGGCCAACTGGGACCTTCATGGGCAGGGCACTCAGCCAGCTGGAAAGAATGGGGCCCTGGAAATTGCTCTGAGTTGATGAGTTTCACAAAATTAATCCAGGTTCATGTCATGGACCAAACAATAGGATGGCTGTCTGTCAGCTCTTCTTTTGACTGATAGAGGAAGCCGAGTTGCTCCTGTTATTTTAAGAGGAGAAACCAGAACAAATAGGGCACAACACCAAACAACAGATGGCATCCATGGTGTCATTATGCTCCCAGCCTAGAGCCAGGCCAAGCTTAGCCCTCACTGTCAGGCCTCTTCCACATGCACATTCACACCGCCCTCCTCTCCCTAGGGCCTCTTGCACTCCACCCCCTCTCGCAGGGTCTCTCTCACATCAAGAACTTGTTCCACCTTGCTCCCCTAGGTCAAAGGCTTTATCCAAATTACACCTTGGGTGGCAGACAGTCTCTTGGGCCTCTCCTGTGACCCTCACCTGGGTAGTGGCCAGCCAAGTTCCTGACCTGGGCCAAGCTTGCCCTGGCCCCTCCTAGGGCAGCTTTACACAAACATATACTGGGCCCCTGGCACCACATACTGGGCTCCCAGCCCTCTGTTCCCCCTTTCTGGGGCTCCACACTTCATTCAACTTGCTCTCCAGGGGTTGGCCCATGTGTGGCCCTTCAGGCTGTCCCACAGCCCTACTCAGCACACCCCCATACGTTGCCCTTCAGGCTGATCCTCAGCCCTACTCAACCCTCTTCCAGGCCCTCACTACCACCCCTTCTCTGGCAGGTACACATTTACCCCCTCCTTTGGGGCTCTGGGGTTTCCCTCCCCTGTGGAGGCTCAGGTGGCCACAGCTATGCCTGGCACCACCTGGGTCTTATACCCTCTCTGGGCTCAGGTGGCCATAGCCAGGCCTGGCCTCCTCATACCCAGTGCTGTAGGGACTAGGGGTTAAGGTGCTGTGACCTACCTTTCACCATGGTGGTAACTAGCCTGGCATTTCCTGGGGACTCCTACACCACCAGGAGCCCCACCAAGCCACCCATCCCCAGCAGGGTACAGTTTTAGGTCATGCCCAGGACCAGGAGCCTCCAAACCATCCCCATAAGCTCCCGCCCTTACCACCAAGATGCTTCATACAGTCTTTCAGCCAGGCAATAATTCTACCTAGCTACCAGCAGCAAATTGCTGTGTTTATATAGGCAGTCAGTGTTTTAAAATGGCTGCTGCAATCAAGCACCTGCTGGCTGCTTGACTCCACCCTTAAAGTGGCAGGCACTGCAAGTTCACTGTTACACCCTTTACCTCAGCATCTTCACAGCATGCTTTTAGTAAATCAAAAGAGAGTCCCAAGCAATAACTGACAGGAAAATCTTGTTAATCAAACTACTCATTATTGGTTATCAGAAAGTCCCAATTTGAATTAATTACCTTCTTCAGTGACAAGAGGTTATCCATTTCTACTAAGTTTGGAACATATCAGGAAATTGATTAACAACCAGGAAAAATACAAGATTTTTGCAGAGTCATCCTTGGGAGCCACTAAAGCAAAACAAGAATAAATTAGGAGGGGACATCTATCACATATAGAGAATGACTCTTCCTGCACATAAACATGAATTAATTGCGAAATAAATGTTTACCATACTAATTAATCAAGGATAGACATTTCACACAGTTACATACCTGACAATCCAGGTGCCTGCTTAAAATCATCATGAATATAGTAAGAGAAGCTGGAAGTGATGCCTCATTATTTCTTTTCAGAAGGACCAGCCGCAAAATTCACATCCTCTTGCACTATGCAATTGTCATTACTATTTTGTATTTCAACTTTTGTGAGTAGGC